TCGTCGTCGTCGTCGTCGTCGTCGTGGTCGTCGTCGTCGTCGTCGTCGTCGTCGTCGTGGTCGTCGTCGTCGTCGTCGCTTTCCCCATCGCCATGACTGTCGTCTTTCTCATCCTCCTCCTCCGCCGCTGTTGCCGCTCCTACCTCCTCCCCACTCTCTCCGCCCTCCCTCCCTCGCTCCCTCCCTCACTCCCTCCTCCCTGCTCCCTCTTCGCACTCCCTCACTCGTTTCCTCTCATCCCTGCTGTCTGCTGCTCCCTTCTCTGTCTCTTTGGTTTCCAATTTCTCTCTCTCTCTCTCTCTTTCCAATCTTGGCTCGAAAGCACTTGTGCTCTGGGCGGGCCGCGACGCGTGCCCTCCCGCATCCGATTGCGCCCTGGCGCGCCTCCGCTTCACAGGGCTGATCACGGGACCTCGCGCACCAGTGGCATACCTCAGCTCGTCGAGCGCCAACAGCCATGAGGCTACGACGAAGACTCGGACGAAGACATGGACAACTAATGGGAAGAACGGGGCGAATCTTTGCTGACATGGCTTCCCCATCTACGCGTCCAGAAGGTCGCCGACCCCGCCCCACGCTCCACTAGCATCCTACAACGCACCGCCGAGCGTCAAGAGGCACCTGGCTACGACAAGAAACTCGGAGACATGCTGGGGCGCAGTTTTGACGTCGATACACCAACCAGGCGACCGCGAGATCTCTGATCAAACCGACGCCCAGTGCCGCGGCCTTGAAGCAGAACGCCAGAACATCGCGGACATTGTGGCGAGCCTTGAAACCACGGTGACCAGCGTGGCCACTGGCCAGGAGACACTCGCCCAACAATGTCACCAGCTCGAAAAGGGATCGCCTCTGTCCGCGCCGAGCAAACCAGCTTGAACACAGATCAGAGGGCCAGCCTCTTAAAAACTAATGCTGTGTTACCCGTGTCAGGGCCTCAGAATGAACCTACGATGCCAGCAGGAGCACCGGCGACTGCTGCACCGAACGGGGACCCCTGGAACACCGTGGTCATCCACCCTCCCGTTGACTCGGAAGAGGTAGCCGCCGCCAACGGGCTCTGGACTAAACCGCTGCAGCCACCGTCAAGCCCTGCGGGTACAACCACCAGGGTGGATTTCCGCGAGAACATAAGCGTGACCACAACGACACCCGCGGCACGGCAGCTCGCAAGGTCCTGCAGGACCGCAGCCCTGTCCGACCGCGCAGACCCTGTCCTGATCCTCGTCCCCCCGCACATTCAGGACAGTACCGAAATTGCCGTCGCCAACCAGCCTGTTCACGTCAAGCCTGATCCCTCGCTCCCATCATCAGTCGGAGAGGGGTAATGCTGCTCCAACAGAAGGGTCCAGGCCAGCAACGACATCAGACTCGCCGAAGGCGAGCGAAACGGCGGAGACACCAGTCCCGCCTGCGTACGCGCGGAGGCCCGCGCCAGGGCGTGAGCGTGAACCTCCGATGACAGCAGGAACACCAGCGACTGCGGCACCGACGGGCCTTGCGGACTCCTTGAAGCTCAGCGCGTGTCAGCGGAAGCGCCTGCACAAGCTCCGCTCCGCAAGCGCCGATTTGGACAGCGAGCCCTCGATGGGTCACTCCGTCCCGTCATCGCGGAGGGAGGTGCCAGGGGCGCCCCGACCGAGCACATCGGCGCGTCCCCTCACGAGCCCCTGGATGTCAGAACGGCCGGGGAAGGTGCCGACAACGCTCCGCACGGCGAGAGCGAGGATCGCGTGGGCGAGGCTCGCCTCTACCTCGACCCCAACTCGCCTCCTCTGTGCAGCTGTGACAGGGGTGCTGGGATCGCTCGTAACACTAGGAATGTTATGCAACATCATTTCGCCATTTCTGCCGTCGCGGTGCGACTGACGGTCTTGGCTTCCCTCGTTCTTGGTTTCTCGTAAAGCGCTGAACTACGCTCCCTGGGGCACCGCGCCAATGCTCAAATGCAAAAACCAAATCAAGGCAAGCGTGCGCCTTATCTTTCTCACCCGCATGGTCGTGGCCAGCTCGCCTTGACTCGCGCCCGCGACTGTGGTGAGCAACGCAAAGAAAACCAATCCTGAGCGCGCCGCCTTCAACGCCGGGTGTCCGATTCCAGCCTGCGCGACGAAGACGACCGCGACGGAGTCGAGCAACGGGCCGACCCGCGCGCCCGCGGCTGGGCGCATAATGGGCCCGTCGGGCCTCGCGTCGGAAAGGCCGTCAGTTCAGGTTGGTCTACTTGGTCTGGGCCCCCTTGCCTCCCCGGCCCCCCGTCAGCATCCCCGTGGCCCTCCCGACAGCGACGTGTTGGGAAGCGGCGCGTCGACGCTGGTGCCCGTGGAATGGGCGCGAACGGCCGTGAGTGCCGCGTCGCTGACCGCCAGTGTGGGTGCTGGCAGAATCCCGAGGAGCACTGCGCTGATGACGGCTGCTCCAAACCTGACGAGCACGAGTGCGACCGCGAGCAGCGCGACGTGATCGAGCGCGACGGCGCCGCTGCGCTGAGCAGCGCGATGGGGTCGAGCGCCGCGACGCTGGGCGGCGCGATGGGATCTGGCGCCAGCGGCCTCGCATCGAGAAGCGAGACCCGGCGCCGGCACCTCGACGATGAGCAGCGCGACGAAGTCGACCGCCGAGGCATTGAGCGGCGCGACGGTGCCTGGCGCGACGGGGTCAAGCACCGCGACGTTGAGCAGAGCGATGGGATCCGGCGCCAGCGGCCTCGCGTCGACGAGCGAGACGAGCAACGCCACGAGCACCGCGTCTTTAAACAGCGCGTCCTGCAGAGGCGCTTCGACGCTGACTGGCGCGACGGGCTCGAGCGCCGCGGCGCTGAGCAGCGCGACGGTGCCAACCGCGACGGAGTTGAGCGCCGCGGCGCTGAGCGGCGCGACGAAATCAAGCGCCGGCGGCCTCCCATCTACGAGTAAGACGAGCAGTGCAACGCGCGCCGCGTCCTTGAGCGGCGCGTCTGGGACCGGCGCCGCGACGTTGAGCAGAGCGACTGAGTCGGCCGTCGCGACGTCGAGCAGCGCGACGGGATCTAGCGCGACCGCGTCGAGCACCGCGCCTTCGAGCAGCGCGGCGCAGCGGGGCGCCGCGACTTCGAGCGGCGCGACGCGGTTACACAACTTACTTTTTTTTCACTTCCCCGTCTCTTGTACCCCCTCTCTGGCCCCCGTCCCTCCGCGGCTACCCTCCCTCAGCCTCTCCACCCCTCTTAATCCGCCCTTGTCATTCCACCCTATTCCATCCGTCCCTACCTTACCTCACCTTACCTCTGTCTCGTCCTCCAACACCTGCCGCTCCTCCGTCCATCCCTCCCACCTCCTTCCTTTATGCTCCAGCGCGAGCAGTTTCAAATCTGCGAGGAAGACGAGCAGTGCAACGGGTGCCGCGTCTTTGAGCGTCGCGTCTGAGACCGGCGCGGTGACGCTAAGCAGCGCGACGGAGTCGAGCGCCGCGACGCTGGGTAGCGCGACGGGGCTCAGCGCGACGGAATCGAGCGCCGCGACGCTGAGCGGCGTTTAGTTAATCAACGCGATGGCGAGCGGCGTAACATAATGCGGCGCCAGCAGTCTCGCATCCACGGGTGGGGCGAACAGTGCAGCGGGTGAGAGGCGCGACGGGATCCAGCACCAGCAGTCTCGCATTTATGATGAGCAGCACGACGGAGTCGAGAGCCGCGTCGTTGAGCAGCGCGACGGGGTCCAGCGCCAGCCTCGCGCCTACGAGCGCGACGAACAGTGCAGCGGGCGCCGCGTCCTGGAGCAGCGCAGCTGGGGCCGGCGCCTCGACGCTGGGCGGCGCGGTGGAGTCGAGCGCCGCGACGTCGAGTAGCGCGACGAGGTCCAGCGCGACGGAGTCGAGCGCCGCGACGTGGACCAGCGCGACGGGGTCCAGGTCGACGGAGTCCAGCGCCAGGGCCGTGAGCAGCGCGACGGAGTCCAACGCCGCAACGCCTCGCATATACGTTCGGCAGCGCGACGGAGCCGAGCGCGATGTCTTTGAGCAGCGCAGCCGGATACAGCGCCAGACTCGCAGCGAGTGAGACGAGCAGTGCAACGAGCACCACGTCTTTGAGCAGCGCGTCTGGGCTATCACCTCGGCGCTGAGCAGCGCGACGGAGTCGAGCGCCGCGGCGCCGGGCAGCGCGTCGGGGCCAGGCGCGAAGGAATCGAGAGCCGCGGCGCTGAGCGGCGCGACTGAGTCAATCAATGCGACGTCGAGCGGCGCGCCAGTGCCCGGCGCCAGCAGTCTCGCACCCGCGATTGGGACGTTAAGTGCAGCGGGCGCCGCCTCTTGGAGCAGCGATTCTGGGGGCAACACCTCGACGCTAAGCGGCGGGATGGGATCGATCGCCGCGGCGTTGAGCCGCGCGACGGGGCCCGGCGCGACGGAATCGAACGCCGCGTCGTTCGGCAGCGCGCGGAATTCAGCACGACGAGGCCGAGCACCGCGACGTCGACCAGCGCGACGGAGTCGAGCATCGCGACGTCGAGCAGCGCATCGGGATCTAGCACTAGTAGTCTCACCTCTACGTTGACCGCGTGTGGAGAGTTCACAGTCTTGAGCTTTACCCCGAGTCCTATGAGGTCCATGCCCACTACTCTCGCGATCGGCATTGGCTGACTGGGGGTGGGGTTCGTGCGTCGGCCTATTTCCACGAGCCGCATTCGCCCAGTGGAGGTGGGATGCGAGCTTCGCCCTATTTCCACGAGCCGCATAGGCCGACTGGGGGTGGGATGCGAGCTCCGACCAGCGCGGCGGTGGGCGACTGCCCGACCCTGACGTGCACTTGGGAGACGAGCACTCCCTCGAGTACCACGGTGCCCAGCAGCGTGAAAATCACCAGCATCGCGACGCGTGCCATCGCGTTGGAGAGCAGTAGGCCGATCCTAACGACCGCGCGCAAGACGAGCACGAACCCAAGTACCGCGGCGCTGCGCACCCGACTGGTGCCAGCAGATGGCGCCGGACAGTTTCAGCTCGACCATGGCTCCCATGAGCGGGACGAGAATAGCATCGCGTGCAGCAGCATTTCGAAGAGCAGCAGCTCGACATTAACGTCTACGAGAGAGACGAGTACCGCCTCGTGTACTACGTCGCTTACCACCGCGACGGGTGCCAGCAGCGCACCGTGGAGCTGCGCTTCGATGAGCGCCAGCTTGTCCCTGGCGTGCGCCGGCGGCACGGGCGCTGCCTTGAGCGACGCGTCGTGGAGCTGTGCGACGCGTGCAAGCATCCTGACGTCGAGCAGCGCGCCGCTGACCATCGCGGCGAACGCTGGCAGCGCGCCGCCGAACTGCGCTGTTTCGAATGCCGCGCCGCTGAGCTGCATGGCTCCTGCCTGCGCCTCGACGGTGAGCGCCGCGCCAGGCGCTGGGTGCGCGCCGCTGATCAGCCCGACCCGTGCTGCGACGTGCGTCGCGCGACGTGGGGGCCGCGGGCGCCCCGGCTGGCCTGATTGGTCTGGGCGCCCGCCTGGCCCCCCAGGCCTCCGCGCCCTGCGTTGGCCCGCTGGGGGCGGGGTGGGCGCGGCCCAGAGTGTCGCGCCGCTGAGCAGCGCGAACGGCCTCGCATCTGCGACTGAGACGAGCAGCGCCAAGAGCGCCGCGTTTTTGAGCGGCGAGTCCACGACCAGCACCTCGACAAAAAGCAGCGCGCCAGAGTCGAACGCCGCGACGTTGAGTGGCGTGAAAGGGTCCGGCGCGACGGAGTCGAGCGTCGCGACGTTCGGCAGCTCGACGGACTTGAATGCTGCGACGCTGGTCGCCGCGACGGGGCGCAGCGCCGGCTGCCTCGCATCGGCGAGTGAGACGAGCTGTGCAACGAGCGCCACCTCTTCGAGCAGCGCATCTGGGGCCCGCGCCTCGACGCGGGGCAGCGCGACGGAGCCGGGCGCCGCCGCGTTGAGCAGCTCGACGGGGGTCGTCGCAACGGAGTCGAGCATGGCGGCGCTGATCGTCGCGGCGGGGCCTGGCGCCGGCAGCCTCGCTTCTGCGTGCGAGACGAGCGGTGCAACGGGCGCCTCCTCTTCGGTCGGCGCGCCCGGGGCCGGCGCCTCGACGCTGAGTGGCGCGACGGCGCCGAGCGCCGCGATGTTGAGCAGCGCGACGGGGCCCAGCGCCGGCAGTTTCGCGCCTGCGAGTAGGGCGGGCAGAGCATCGGGCGCCGCGACGTGGAGCGGCGCGTCTGGGGCCGGCAACTCGGCGCTTAGCAGCGCAGCGAAATCGAGCGCCGCGACGTGGAGTGACGCGACGGGGCCTGGCGCGGCGGAGTTGAGCGCCGCGGCGGGATCGAGCGCCGCGTCTTTGAACGGAGCGACGAGATCCAGCGCCGGCGTCCTTGCGTCTGCGAATGAGACGAGCGGCGCAACGAGCGCCAAGTCTCTGAGCAGCGCGTTTGGGGCCCGCGCCTCGTCGCTGAGCGGCGCGGCGGAGTCGGGCGCCGCGGCGGGCTCGAGCGCCGCGTCTTTGAACGGAGCGACGAGATCCAGCGCCGGCGTCCTTGCGTCTGCGAATGAGACGAGCGGCGCAACGAGCGCCAAGTCTCTGAGCAGCGCGTTTGGGGCCCGCGCCTCGTCGCTGAGCAGCGCGGCAGAGTCGGGCGCCACGGCGCGGGCCAGCGCGACGGGGCCCGGCGCGGCGAAGTCGAGCGCCGCGACGTTGGGCACCCCGGCGGGGTCGAGCGCCGCGACGTAGAGCAGCGGGGCGGGGTCCAGCGCCGGCGCCCTCGCGCGGGCGAGTGGGGCGAGCGCCGCAACGAGCGCCGAGTCTTTGAGCGGCGCTTCTGGGGCTGGCACTTCGTCGCTGAGCAGCGCGGCGGAGTCGGGCGCCGCGGCGCGGGCCAGCGCGACGGGGCCCAGCGCGGCGAAGTCGAGCGCCGCGACGTTAGGCAGCCCGGCGGGGTCGAGCGCCGCGACGTAGAGCGGCGGGGCGGGGTCCAGCGCCGGCGCTCTGGCGTGGGCGAGTGGGGCGAGCGCCGCAACGAGCGCCGAGTCTTTGAGCGGCGCTTCTGGGGCCAGCGCTTCGACGCTGAGCAGCGCGACGTGGTCGGGCGCCGACGCGTCGAGCGGCGGGGCGGGGTCCGTCGCGGCGGATTCGAGCGGCGCGGCGTTGAGCAGCGCGACGGGGTCCGGCGCCGGCTGTCTCGCGCGTGCCAGCGAGACGACCAGTGCAACGGGTGCGCCGCGACTGTAAGCGGCGCTTCTGGACTGGCGCTTCGACGCCGAGCAGCGCGAGGGGGTCGAGCGCCGCGGCGTTCGGCGGCGCGACGGGGCCCGGCGCATCGGGGTCGAGCCCCGCGACGTTGAGCAGCGCCGCGAGGTCGACCGCCGCGGCGCGGATTAGCGGGGTGGGGTCCAGCGCCGACTGCCTCGCATCTACCAGCGAGATGAGGAGTGCAACGAGCACTGCGTCTTTGAGCAGCGCGTCTGGGGCCAGCGCCTCGACGCCGAGCAGCGCGACGGAGTCGAGCGGCGCGGCGTTGAGCAGCGCGACGGGTTTCAGCGCGAGTGAGTCGATCACCGCCGCGTTGAGCAGCGCGACGGAGTCAAGCGCTGGGGCGCGGAGCAGCCCGGCCCCGCCCCATCGCCGGCAGCGTCGCGGCTGCCAGTGGGGCGGTCAGTCAGTGCGACAATCGCTGCGTCTTGGAGCAGCGCGTCTGGGGCCAACGCCTCTGCGCTCGTCGGCGCGACTGCCGCGAGTGGGGCGAGTTCTCCCTCGAGTACCTTGCGGCTGTGCACTCGCGCGGGTAACGATATCCCAGCGTCGAGCGGCATGCCCGAGAGCATCAGCTCGACTATGATGCCCGCGAATGAGGCGCATGCGACCGTTCGCATCGCGGCGATGCCCGCCGTGACAGGCGCCAGCCGCGAATCGGTGAGCAACGCGCCTGGGGGCAACAGCTCGACCCTGGCGACCGCGAGTGAGGCGAGTGCCTCCCCGATTGCGTGCGCGTCTACGCTGAGCAGCGCGTCGCCGACCGCCGCGGCGGGCGTCAACAACGCATCTCTGAACAGCGCGATCGGTTGCGCCATCGCCTCGACGCGCGCCGGCGGGACAGGCGCTGCCGCGAGCGCCGCGCCGTTCAGCTGTGCGATGGCCAGATCAAGTGCCATGTCGCTGACCACCTTGACAGGCTCCGGCCGAGAATCGGTGAGCCGCGCGACCAGGAGCAACGGCTCGACCCCGACGACCAAGTGTGGAACATCCACCGCCTGACTGTTTGCCACGAATCCTGCCGGGTCCATGGCCCAGTATCTTCCCGATCCGCATTGGCCCATTGGGGGTGGGATTCGTGTATCGGCTCAGTTCCAAGGGCAGCATTGGCCCGCTGGGGGTGGGATGCGAGCTCTGCCCTGCTTCCACGAACCGCAATGGTCCATTGGGGGTGGGGTGCGGGCTCCGACCACCGCGTCGGGGAGCAGCAGCTCCACGCTCACTTGCAACAAGCACAAAACGCCTGGATCGCCCCCCATCAAGCCCGATCGCCCGCTTGCCTTCTGGGGCGGCCCCAAGCGAGCGACCAAGCGCGTTCAGGAGCCCACCACTAACACTCCAGTCCTACCTCCACTTCTGAAGCCTGCGCGAACTGTTGGCGACTGTTCCGCTGCGGGGGATGCCCCCAGGCGGTGCCTCTCTTCGCTGGGCGCTGTGGCGCGCACGCAAGCGTGCGCTTAAAACCAATGCCCCTCTTCGCGCGGTGGTGCAGACGGGCCCCCGTCGCGTCGGGTCTGATCACCGCCGACCGTCGTTCTTTCAGCCGCGAACCTTTTTGTCCGCGCCACGGGGGGGGTCAGCCCGCCATCTTTGTTCAGCATGCGGCGCCTCCCGCTTTGTGAGGCTGGTCCGCTGAGCACGCGTGGCTCAGGGGCCCAGATGGTGACGCTGTCCGAAGTGGTGTGCTCTCTCTCTCTCTCTCTCTCTCTCTCTTTTTCTTCCTCTCTCTCTCTATCTCCACCTCCACGAATATTGTACATATAGGTGCATGCGTGCATACTTAATATACATATAGGGAGTAACCCAACACACGCATACACACACGCACGCACGCACGCACACGCAAGCACGCACGCACGCACGCACACACACACACACACGCACCGCACGAACGCACGCACGCACGCACACAGACACAACAGACACAACAGACACACAACACACAACACATACCCACACTCACCCACCCACCCACCCACACACATCACACACAACACACACAACACACACAAACACACAAACACACACAAACACAAACACCCACAACACCACACAACACACACAACTCGCTCAACACACAACAACAACACAGAAAACACAGAAACACCACATACAGGCACACACAGCACACCACACAACCCGCACAAACATCTCACACAAACACACACAACACACAAACAACACAACATCACGGCACACTCGGACATCACAGCACACACAAACGCGCTCACACAACACAAATTCCACAACACGCACACCACACACACACCTCCACCAACACACACACGCAACACCACCCACAAAAACACACCCACACGCACACGCACACACGGCACACACACACACTCACACAAACACACACGCACACACACACACACGAACACGCACACACAAACACGCGCACACAAACACGCACTAAAGCACGCACCCGCACCCGCACGCACACGCACACACACGCACGAACACGCACACATGCATACACAAACGCACACACAAGCACACACGCACACACACACCACACTTCACACACCACGCGCGACACACACAAACACACAATCACACACACAACACATGAATACACAAACGCACAACACCAAACACACACGAACCACAAAAATCAGGACAATCACGCACATTCATGTTTGTTTATGTATGTTTGCATGCATGTCTTAGTATACGTGTGAAAGGTATATCATTTGTTATTGCGCCGTACAATCTGCCTTAGCTTTTCTGCCTCCTCCTACTCCTCTTTTTCTATCCCCCTCTTCGTAGTCTGGCCCGTGGCAATCTCGCCCGACGCCTCCCCCCCACACCCACCCCTCCAGGGCCTTGCCGGCTGGG